GAAGTAGATTAGTGCTGCCAGTAGGAGACATGTCTCATAGTCATAAGAAAAATCTATATTATTAAAACATCCTTTTTTATTTTATATTTTATAATTTAAATTAATTTTACATATCAGCCACGGATTCCCTTGTTCTCCCCCCTCCACCCAACCCCATCCCCGGCCTTTCCCCCAGCCCCCCCCCCCCCCATTCCCATCTCCTCCAGGGCAAAGACTCCCCTGGGGATTGAGTTCAACCTGGTAGATTCAGTCCAGGAAAGTCCAGTCCTCTCCTCCCAGGCTGAACATCTTAAATGTATATTCTATAGATCTCTGAATTGTTTGAAGATGACCCATATATCTAAGATATATCTCTGTTTGACCTTGAAAATATACCTAATATGACTTATGACTAACTAATAACTTACATTTCTTTATATCCCAATCAGTTGAAAATTATAACTTTCAAGGACTAAAAACTTATATTACATAGTTAAATGAGCTATATAGGTACAATACCTTGAACAAGCTTATAAATATATGTACAGTATTTTATAACAAAATCAATCTCAAATTTGTATCAATATACATAATTTGTATACAATATACAAAAATTCAATCTAAAGTAAAATATTTAAAATAAGTTGCTTTTTAAAAGTAGATTCAATAATCTATCTTTTTATCCTATCATATCCCTGTCCTTTTTTTCAGAGTAGATTCAATAATATACCCTTTATCCATCATTTTTACACCTTTTTTTGAGAGTAGATTCAATAATCTACCTTTTATCTTATTATATCTATATCTTCTTTTTTTCCTTTCTTTTTTTCAAACAAGGACTCTATATCTAATTTCCTTTGTTTATATTTTCTGACCATGAACAATTAACAACTTGTAACCAACCATAATAAACAATGACAATTATCTATAACCCATTGAACGACCAAAAACCACCCACCCCACCTCTTGGGAATGTGCACATTGTATTCTTAAAATTTGTATTCCTACTGTTGGGGGGGGCATCTTTAGGGAATTCTGGGAAAAAATTGGGGTTAATTGTTAAATCCTGGGAGAGGTAGCTGTATCATTTGTTGTCCAGCCTCTTCATAATGGGAAAGTACAGGGATTGTCTCAAGTCCTTTCTTGTCTAGTCTTTGAGGCTAGATCATCTCAACTAGCCATCTCAAAATTGCCCTGAGCAGTTTGTAGATGATCTTTGGGTAGTGTTTGTCAGCTTAATGTCATTATCATAGTCCATGTGGAATCATCGTTTTGGGGTCCTATCATCCATACTTCAGAGATCACATTAGGTCAGATCATTGCTTTTCTTGGTAATTTTTTCCAGGTAGTTCTCCATTTTCTTTGGATGCTTATTTGTCCAAAAGTCTTTTAATTCCTCAAGATGGTTGTTTTTGTTATCCTGAAATGACAAAAAACAGCACCCTTCCCCAACCCTAACTTTGGGGAGTTTCCAATCTAATCTACATCAATTTTGATTAATGGTTTTTCCTGAATTTTTTATTTTTTTCTATAGCTGTTCTATCATCTATCGTATGTTTTATTTTTTTTACAATAGGCATTAGGTTTGTCAATTGCTCTGGGAAGGAGTTTTCTCCACAATTACAGGAAAGGACTGAATGGACTTTGATGTGGGGGACAAGAGAGAGGCCCTTCAGGGAATTTCCCGATGGCAAAGGCAATGATTACTTTGTCCCTTGTTGATCTCCATTTGTTAGTCCAATGTCTGCTCTTGCCACATCATCTGCATAATCAAGAAGCAAAGGATGCTCTGTTGGGATTATTCCTTGAGAAAACTATTTCTAGAAATGTCCTGTTTATAGTTCCTTTTTAGGTGATCTTGTTTAATGCAATTAAAACATCTGACATTACTGGTTTTCTTCAAACCTCTGGAAATATCATCACGGTCATGAGATTCAATAGTAATTGAATCTTGGATCCATTCCTCCAAGGATGCTGATCTTGCCTTTAATGGCCTAATATCTTTTGTATTGTGTTTTAGCATTTTCAAAAGTCAGAGATTCAATTACTCTCTGTCTGGCTTCTGAAAATGGTATCATTCTATTCACTTATGAAGTCAGTCTTCATGAGAAATCATTGAAGGTCTTTTGGGTCCTATATAACTGGAAAATGACTCAATTTTCTTTCCTACTTCTTCAATTCAGTCCCAAGCATTTAAGGCTGCCATTCAACATAAAGCCAGGATGTGGTCATCATATAGAGATTGTCTTTCCACATTAGGATAATCTCCCTCTCCAAGAAGTTGACCTTTTGAGATTTCCATACTTCTCACATACTTCATTGTTCAATGATCTTAGCCTCATCCTTATCCAAATCCTCCATTGTAATTGTGGACCAGCCTCTAAGACAGCTGTAACCAAATCTCTTCAGTGTTGAGGGATAATTCTATTACATGTTGACCATAAGTTTAACATTTGCTTCACAAATGGGGAATGCACACCATATGAGACTATAGCTTCTTTGAATCTCCTCATCTCTAACATTTTCACAGAAGTCCAGTTAGCTTGTACACAGCCTTAAACATTTGGCAGTTGCTGTAAGGTTACTGAATAAATTAAGGTTGGCTGTTTGAAAGGGTTAGGCTGTTTCTCTGTAACTGTATAATGCAATGCTGAGGTTGGTTCACCTTTAAATTCCTCCTTCTGAGTCTGAATTTCTCTATGATCTGTTTTAACAAGTTTTTCTAAAATTTTTATCTTGGACTCACATTAACCAACTTTTTAAATTATAAAACAGAAATGATCAAACAAATAATATATATCATCGACATTACATAAATCCCATTTTAATTATCCTCTCATTTAATTGTTCCACTTTCAGACTATCAATTGTATTATCAAACAGATACCAAATTCTCTCCATTGTAAAAACATTTCCCATTTTTTAATATGGGAAAAAATCTCTTTTAAATAATTTCTCCCTTTAAGAAATCCTAATTGTCTCACCAATTCTGCCAACAATGATGATTCAGATGTGTGGCTGATTGCTTCTATGTAGAACAGAAGAAGCACGAGTGGGTTTCAAGATAGCTACCTAGTGTGGTAGCTGCCTGAGATAGGGATCCAGGGAGAGCCCACAACCCACCAGGAGAGAAGCCAAAGAGTCAGCCATCTGCATGAGGGAACTCAAGAAAGTGGCTAACTCCTATGGTTTTTGGAGCCCAAAAAAACTTAAGGAGTTTCCTCCAGAGAGGCTGCAACAAAAACTTAGCCAGCAGGTTAGGTACTCCAGCCCACATGGGGTGGTGACTCTGGCTGCATGCATCTCTGACCTAACCAGGGCCTACAAGGCCATAGGCAAGTGGCTTTTTTTTTTAATTTATACTCTACAAGTTAGATGCCTGATATTGTTCAAAACTTAGATGGTCTTTTAATAAAAAGCCCAAAGCCAGATATCAGGGTGTAAGCTGAAATATAGAAAAGCTAAACAGCCAGTCACTAGTTCTTATCTCTACGAAATCCTCAGTCTAAAGAGAATGAGTTCCTGCTTCTTCACACCTTATATACCTTTTTCTGGCCTGCCATATCACTTCCTGGGGTTAAAGGTGTGTGTGCTTCCCAAGCAAAGGCATGAGATTTCAAGTGATAGTATTAAAGGTGTGTACTACCTCTGTCTGGCTCTGTTTCTAATCTAGTGGCTGGCTCTGTCCTCTGATCATCAGGCAAGCTTTATTAGACTACATGGTGACTGTTGTTGTTTTTTTTTCAGTAACCATAGAATTTGGGGGTAATTATCACTTGGTCATAGTTTGTAGTCCTTAAAGTATTTTACACTGTGCCATTTTCATATCTTTTTGTTATTCATTTTTAGTTCCCCCATAGTTTTAGATATTATCCTTCAGAGAATAAATTCAAATAATCAATAAAATTATGGATGCCATTTTCCAACTGGAAGGACAAATAATATCACAATGAGATTTGACACTAAAGTAGTAATTGCAGAACCTTTTCAAAGTAAAAAACTGCTGGTGATAATGGAATGAGAAGGACACTAAATATAATGTTGATGAGAGTGTTGATTATTACAGTCATTGTGGAAAACAATGTCAGGCGTCCTCTAAATATCTCTCTCTGTATATAATGGGACCCAAATGCTTACGTCTGAGCTTACATCCGAAGAATATAAGTGTATGTAAAAGGCACCTGCACCTTCATGTGTGTTTCCTACTGTATTTCTCAAATCGATGAGAAAATCAGTCTAGAAGTCATCAATGGATGGATCGATGGATAAGAAATGTGGGATACACTGCAAAGATTGTTAGTTTTTTAAAGTAAGAGGAAATCTAGTTATTAATGTGCTAAAAAAAAGAATGGGTTTATTTAACTCAAGTACAAAGGATCTCGTTACTGACCCATCTTAGTTTAATATAGACTTCCCAGACATAGAGTCAAATGTCCTCCACTGTTCTTCAACATATAGAGACGTGGGCCTTCATTTCTATGTATGAATCTGCATATCTGAAGATTAGGTCTACCACAATTCTTCAAATGATTTTGATGGGAGAAAATAATTAATGAAAAAAAATGTTTTATTTATGTTTTTAGGGCATAAAAGTACAGAACTGTACACACTTATGTGCAGATAATCATATCAACACAAAAGTTAGGCTTGTGAGGAATTAGGGTGAAATCAAAAATTATAAAAATCTGTGCCATAGTCTTTGAAATTGTATGTTAATTTCCTCCTCTACATTCCAGCATTTTTGTTGGCAACAATATAAAACAAACATTTTTTAGAAGTCTTAATATAAAATAATTGCAAATAAATAAATGTTCATGTCAAGTTAACTAGACCTCAAGTCTATGTAGCTCGCTAAATTTCTATATAGTTAGAACAACCATAAGTAATGGGAGCTACAGAGTTTTACTTTAACTTTTACACTTTCAGTAACAAATATATAAAATTGTGTAAAATTGTAGAGCCATTGTAATCAGATGTGCTGGTAAAGAATTTATCAGATTATTACATCAAATTATTCTTAGGAAAACCACAATCAACAATCAGAATTTACACTTGAACATCTGGTAACAACTGTAAGTAATCTGTTTGCTGCTGGGACAGAGACAACAAGCACAACGCTGAGATATGCTCTCCTGCTCCTGCTGAAGCACCCACATGTCACAGGTGAGGACTCAGATAATAATGCACAGAGTTCCTATAAGATGCTGGAAAGTCTCTACTAGTGTCTGTGTGCCATTCTTAGAGAAGTCTCAGTCCTTCACCTTCTGTGCCATTCACTGGCTGTAAAGAACAGCATGACTAAGAGAAACAGGCTCTGATTATAGGAAAAGCAATCAAATTCTGGTCAGTGTGTAAGTGATCTGGAAGGTAAACTCCAACAGGCATGGCCAGGATATATTGTCCTGTGGAAACGTTATTTTATTCTTAAAAGTCATATCTTCACATCAGCTAAAACCTTTCAGTTTCCTATCCTCATTCTGATGAATCCCTCCCTTGTCTCTGTCTCCACTTCCCACTCAAGAGTCACACCAATATATTCATAATTATCTATTCTATCTCCCTTTCCTAACAAGATCTATCTGTCCTTCATAGTCCCTTACTTTACTTCTAACCATTATGGTTCTACAGATTGTAGCTTGGTTATCCTTGATTTAAAAGATAATATCCACATATAAGTTAATGCATACCATATTTGTCTGTCTAAGTCTGGATTACATCATTCAGGGTGATTTTTTCCTAGTCCCTTCTATTTACCTGAGAATTTCATGATTTTATTCTTTTTTTATGGCTGATTAACACTCCATTGTATAAATATACCCATTGAAAAAAGTCTATTCTCGCCGGGCGGTGGTGGCGCACGCCTTTAATCCCAGCACTCGGGAGGCAGAGCCAGGCAGATCTCTGTGAGTTCGAGGCCAGCCTGGGCTACCAAGTGAGCTCCAGGAAAGGCGCAAAGCTACGCAGAGAAACCCTGTCTCGAAAAACCAAAAAAAAAAAAAAAGAAAGAAAGAAAAAGAAAAAAGTCTATTCTCCTGTTTAGGGACATCTACTCTGTTTCCAATTTCTGGCTATTATGAATAAGGCAGCAATGAACATGGTTGAGCAAGTGTTTCTGTGACAGGCTGAAGCAGCTGTCAGGTGTAAGCCCAAGAGTGGTGCAGCTGTGTCTTGAGGTCGATTCTCTTCTTCCTGATGCACTGTCACACTGATATTCTAGTGGCTGTACAGGTTTGCACTCCCACCAACAATGCATAAGTGGCTTCTTGCACCACTTCTTTTCAGCATGAGCTGTCACTTTTTAAAAATTGATCTTCACCATTCTGAGGGGTGTAGGAGAAATCTCAAAGTAGTTTTGATTTGCATTTCCCTGATGACTAAGGTTTTTGAACATTTTTCTAAGTTTCTTTAAATTTTTCTCAGCAATTTGAGTTTAATCTCTTGAGAAGTCTCTGCTTAGATCTGTACCTCATTTATAAGTTGGGTTATTGGTTTTCTTCATATCGAATTTTTTAATTCTTTATATATTTTGAATCTTAGGCCTTTATTGGATGTGCAGTTGGGAAAAGTCTTTTCCCATTCTGTAGCCTGTTGTTTTGTCCTAATTATGTTGGTTTTTGCCGTGCAGAAGCTTTTCAGTTTCATGAGGTTCCAAAACGCTGCTGTTAATGAAGTGAGGGGTTAAGGGGAAGTGTGTGTGTGTGTGTGTGTGTGTGTGTGTGTGTGTGTGTGTGTGTGTGTGTGTGTTTAGTATGTATTTGTTTATGTAGATGATGTAGATGTAACTGAAATTTTCATCTCCTATATGGGAAAGTCATAAATGTTGTGCATATGGGGGCACATAAGAAACTCATTTTTAAAATATGAATACATTTCAGAAATAGCTAAAGAGGTTGAACTTGTTCATTACTGGGTGTAGGAACAAAAAAGAAGAATCTTTCAAATTGCAACACACATATTCATAAATACACATACATTAGAATGTGAGTGTAAAAGAATATTGTATTTGGATACAGATTTAGTATCTGAGTTCTAATCTTCTTTACCATAGACTAAAGCATGTTGACTAATTATATTGTTTTATTTGATACTTTTAATTACTTATATCTTATATGCTGTTATGGCTACTAAATAATAAGTCTATGCTGATTTATAATATCAATATAGGATAATGGTATGAATCCACAGTACAGCGTTTCTTTATAAATATATGTATAACTACTTTTATTCCTGAATAAAAAATGCACATTTATAATTTTTTTGGACCACTTACATTATGTTGTGTATGACCTACCATTAAGTCAAACATATCACTTTTCTCCTACTCCTATATTTCTCACTGTGACCAACCAGCTAAAGTCCAGGAAGAGATTGATTGTGTGGTTGGCAGACACCGCAGCCCCTGCATGCAGGACAGGAGCCACATGCCCTACACAGATGCCATGATTCATGAGGTCCAGAGATTCATTGACCTCATCCCCACCAACCTGCCCCATGCCGTCACCTGTGACACTAAGTTCAGGAACTACCTTATCCCCAAGGTAAGCTTGTCTCCTCTCTGCTGCACGTCTGTGCTCCTGATATTCCCAGATCACAGTGCAGTTCCAGTCCTCTGTGTCACCTGGTGTTGCTGGTGGCTTATACTGGTTCACTATCAGGAGGACAAATCTTCTGCAGGTACAGAAATTTCTGGGTGAATATCTTTGTTATTAATTCTCTAGTGCCTCTACTATTCTTTCCATCTGCTTAATGGAAATAATTGATGCAATCATTTCATTGGTCTTACTTTTATCTAGACATGTGAATTTTGTTATTTCTAATGAGTTATCTTTTAATGTATGTGGAATTTGAAGTTGTTATGTGGACTAATACTTTTCTATGTACTCTTCATATTCCTGTGGTCATAGTTTCTCTTCATTTTGATGAATTGCAGCATGATGATGAATAGACCCAGGTGCAATGGACATCACTTATCTCCTTTCTGATTAGGATGAAGGATTGTAACTTTAATATCTCCCTATAAAGTTAGATGTTTTCAGAATACACTGATAGTTGTGTAGCTCAGATGAAAATTTTTGGCCTGATTGTCTTAATGGTATAAGAGATACTTTATTGTGGAGTCAATTATGTGTGAGCATGACCCAGGAACATAGAAATTTACTTTGAGATGACTTTTATTCACAAAAATCTGTACATTATTTTTAAGATTGTTCTGTGCACCCATTAAATGGTTTTATGTATTGTTTACCCTTTGATCACTGACTGTATATGTTATAAACACATATGTACATTGTATTTTCTCTATCTCACATTGCTTTGTGGCACAAATTCACAAAAAAGCCGCTTGCCTGTGGCCTTGTAGTCCCTAGCTCAGGCCCAAGCTGCACACAGCTGGTTGTGGTGGTACACTCAGGTAGGATTTGCTGAAGGAGGTGGAGGTAGGAGGATGCCAAGTTCAAGGCCAGCCTGGGAGGTTTTTTGAGGAGAAGCTGCAGCTGGGACCAGGCTGGGCCACAAAGGGTGACAGCAGGACCATGGAGGCTGCAGCTGCTGCTCTGAATTGCCAGCTGCTTCTCATTGTGTTGGTGACAGCAGGGATGCTGCTACTGGGGATGAAGGGTTTACCTCTGCTTGCTCAGAGAACAATTGCCAGGACCATTGTATTACAATGCATTGGCAAAGGTCGGTTTGGAGTTTGGTGAAGCAAGTGGCAGGGAGAAGAAATTGCTGTGAAAATATTCTCTTCTAGGGAAGAACATTTGTGTTTCTGAGAGGCAGAGATTTATCAGACTGTGATGTCACACCATGAAAACATCCTAGGATTTATAGCAGCAGACAACAAAGACAATGGCACATGGACTCAGCTGTGACTGGTGTCTGATTACCATGAGCATGGACCTCTTGATTACTTGAATAAATACACAGTTACAGTGCAAGGGATGTTCAAACTGACTCTGTCGACAGCAAGGTGTCTTGCCCATCTTCACGTGCAGATTATTAGTACCAGAGATTGGAAAGCAAAAAATATCTTGATCAAGAGGAATGGAACCTGTTGTATTGCAAACTAAGGACTGACTGTGAGACACGATATTGCCACAGATACAATTGATATCGCTCCAAACCACAGTGTAAACACCACCTGAAGATCAGCTTTGAACTACAAACTGCTTGGGACAATTTCAAGATGGCTAGCTGAGATCCCTGCAATGGCGATTCCATCAGGATGATGATAATACCACTAAGCTGACAAACACCACTCAGTGATCTTCTTTGGGCTACAAACTGCTCAAGACAAGTTTGAGATGGGTAGCTGAGATGAACTAGCCTCACAGACTACATGAGCAAGAGCTTGAGACAAGCCCTGCACTTTCCCATTATGCAGAGACTGGAAAAAAGATACAGCTAACTCTCCCAGGACTTGGCAACTAACCCAAAAACATTTTTTTCAGGATTGCCAAAACATGCCTTCACCCCAGACAGCAGGAAGTACTTTTAAGAACACAACGCCTATTTCTATTAATCTATAAGTAGCCATGTGGCTCATGGCTTACCAATATCTTTACATGTTGCTTCTCATCATGGTGGCTAGCAGCATCTACCTGCCCCAGCCTTCCACTTCCCATAATTCTCCTCCTTCTTTGTCCTGCCTATATTTCCTGCCTGGCTACTGGTCAATCAGTGTTTTATTTATTAATCACTCATCCACAGTACTTCCCCTTTTCTTTTTTCAAAAAAGAAGGTTTTAACTTTAACATAGTAAAATTACATATAACAAAACAATTATCAAGCAAGAATTACAGGTATAATATCTAATCTATTTATTATCTAGTCTATTTGTATTTGGCCATTAATGAAGATATCCTATTTATCATATTTGTGAGTCTAAGGTTTCATATCTAACTTATCTTTTATCTTAACTAAGGAAATTATAACTATCTAGTCTTCAACTACATCAAAGACCTCAGAAGGATATAATATGACCTAAGAAACGGGAGAAGGACACAAGCAACTTTTAGGAGTCTTGCGAGAGACAAAGACAGCTGGAAGCCTGGACAGTCATCCAAAGTTCATGTGTAAAGTTGAGGCATCTGTCCTTAGCCCACAGGCCTAGAGCCTCTCAATCACTTCTCTCTGTGTTCTGTAGAATGTTTGGCAGTTTCCTCTGTGAAGCAGGAACTTGAAGGACCATTTTGCCAAGCAAAGTTCAATGGTCACCTTCCTATGGGTCCTGCATGTCCAGTTGATATATTTTTTTCAAGCAGTCCAGGCAAGAACAGTTTCTTGTCCAAATGGCTATTTTTCCCAAGAAGAAGATAAACTCCATATAGAGTGTCTTCGATGCCCATCCTCCTCTCTGGAGTAAATCGGTGCTACCAGGAGCAGACATATCTCACTATCCAGAAAGTCTAAATTTTTAAAATATTTTAAATGCCATATTCTGTTGGTCTTTGAAGGGTTTGAAGATTACCTACCTAATTGAATTTTATCTATGTACACCTAGAAAACTAACATGACTATAAGTTTGACTATCATAGAAGCCTAATTATTAATCTGTATTTCTTAATTATCCATTACAATCTAAATGAGTTACATAAACATAATACCTCAAATGAGAATAGAAATACAGTATAACAAAATTAAGTTTAAACTTGTATCAATAAACTAAAATCTATAGCAATGTAAAACATTTTAAACATTTTAAAGTTGCTCTTTAAAAGTAGATTCAATAATCTACCCTTTCATCCTATTATATCTATATCATATCCCCCTTTCTTCTTTTAGAAAGATATTGTACTGATAAATTAACCTGTTTTAAATAAAAAAAAAAAAACATTGGTTTTTCTCTGTAACACACCAGAGGGTTCTTCTGATATGGGACAGAAGACTCTCTCAACCTTTTGTTTTAGTAATATGCTTAGGTTTAGAGAATGAGTGAGCCAATTCCATCTCCAAAGTCAGCTTGGTATATTTGGGAATTTGGGCATAGCTTCTCATACTACTTCCTGCTGGATGAGGGCACTATATTCTTATGGGGAGATAAAGAAAATTTTAGGATTATGGGGTAGTCCATGAAGCTGTATTGTCTGGGCCAGATGCCTTGAAACCATTCTGGATGTTGGATCATCTGGGCCATGGTGTCACTGGAGACCTTTCAGGGGGTCTTGGCTGGTCAACCCTGATGTATCTTAATCTGGAACAAATCCGTAGCCTCTTGCTTTCTGTGGAAACAAAAGAAGAGCTTCCTTTCCAAAGCAACATATCTTTAGATCTAAATTTTGAAGTCAAGGTATTTTTAAAATATACAAATTGGCTTAATTCAACAGGTTTACAATCAAATGTCTTTCTGCAGTTAAGAATATCAAAGACAACACAGTCCAGATTCTCTGTGTAATATCCATCTTTACATGGCTTATTTTTCATATTACTTTTACTTTCTCTTTAAAGACTTTATTTTCTAAAACTTTCTGTTTCTTTAATATAACTGTCTATATTACTTTTCTTTTCTCTTCCAAGCCTACGTACATTTTTACACATATTGTAAACTGTTCAGAGGTTTACCCCATTTGAATCTGTCTTATTGTGAATCTATTACTATAAATTGCAATGGTAAACTGCATTTGTAAGACTGAAATGGCCACTGTGGCTGCTGGCTCCGCCCACCCCCATCTTCCCAACATGGTGGTAGTACCTTTACTGCCAGCTCTGGGAGCCATCAACTCTCAGAAGCAGTGGGTCTATGCTTCTATCAAAACAGCGTGTAGCCCAGAAACCTCCTTTTTTTTTTTTTTTTTTTTTTTGTACTAGCAAAGGCTATATCGACCACACACCATGTTGCATGGCTTACAGAAACCTCTGTGTAACTCGGTAGGAATAGGTCTAGGTCAAGCCTATATGCTGTGAACCTGCCATAGAGTAGCTGAAGCCCTCATGTTACATCATGTCGCCATCTACATGAGACGTGTTTCTGGCTCTTTTTACAACTGGTTATTAAGTATTTTCAGGTTTCAGGTGGAACCTTGAGACATTGGGCACCATTTGTAGCGGGCATTTTCGTGGTCCTGCCTGGTCCATGGTCAGGGCAAATCTCTCTCACCCGCCAGTCCCACGGCCTCTTGGACCCAAGCAAACACAAAGAGATTTATATTACATATAAACTGTACGGCTGTGGAAGGCTTCTTGCTATCTAGTTCTTATATCTTAAATTAACCCATTTCTATAAATCTATACCTTGCCACATGGCTCAAGGCTTACCAGTATCTTACATCATGCTTTTCAAGGCCTTCCACTTCCCAGCCTTCTCCTCTCTCTTTGTCCTGCCTATACTTCCTGCCCAGCCACTGGCCAATCAGTGTTTTATTTATTAATCAATCATAGCAACACATTCACAGTATACAGAACATTCCTCGGCTAGGATAAGTGATTTCTTTGAGCAGACTGGAGCCACTGATAGGATAAGAAGGAAACAATGATATTGCCATTATTGTTCTGGTAGATTTAAGACTTTCTGGGCCAAGGGGATTGTGCTGTCCCTTCAGAAACTCTGCCATTGTAGCAGAGAAGCAGTCATGGGCAGCGTGAAAACATTTGGTTATGAATATAATATGTTCAATACCTATTAACACGAACTCTTAATTTTCACACAATTTACATATGTCAATAATATTCTTCTTAGCTTTAAAACTTTAAACATAATGAGTTAAGCTACATTATAATATGTGGGTCATCCTTGTAAGAGCTTTGTAAAGCACATTCCTAAAAACTTTGAAAGGATATGAGGTTAGTTTGTGTACTAGTTAAAGAGAACTTGCCAGCACCAGCTCCCAGCAGTTTCTATGTATCTTCAGAAGATTTGTTGATTTAACTGCCAACAGATCATCTTACCCTCATTTTATTTTGTTAAATTTTATTTTTTTTGCCCTCTCCTTCCCATTCCATTCCTTCCTTTCCTTCTCCCAAAGAGTCCTTATCCTGGTTTTCTGGCACATATACAAATATGTATTTCTGTCTTTGTGTCTGTGCATTCATATAGATAGATCGATTACATGCAAGACTACATACCTCTACTCTGGCACATATCCCTGCATTTACTTCCTTATATAAATACAGAGATAAATAGATTCTGTAAATGGAAAAAAGGAGTGGCATTTGTCTTTACAAATCTTCCCTATTGTACTCAATGAACTGACTCCCATTCTATTAAAAAAACTCAATGAATTATTCCATCTGGAACCTGACTCATATGAATGCTATGTAGATAGATGTGATAAGCTAGAGCAGCCAGTAGTCAGAGAAGCATGAGTCCAATCTGAAGGAAAGGAAGAAGAGCCTAGGAAGGTTTATTCCAAGTACTCATGTGAACTACCACTGGATGAAACTTTAGCCACACCACTGTGCCTTGCCTCGACCTCCTCCATGCTGATTACCTGCTCTGTGTGTTGAAATATCCCTGATGATCTTTGTACTTAAACTTCACTATGGAGCAGAGAATTAACTAGGTTATTTTCTTAATGTGTTTTAGCTCTATGATTTCTTTGTAACTCAATTTCTCTCTGTGGGTTGTTATAGGGAACAACGGTGATAACATCACTGTCATCAGTGCTGCATGACAGCAAGGAATTCCCCAACCCAGAGGTATTTGACCCTGGACACTTTCTAGATGGGAACGGAAACTTTAAGAAAAGTGACTACTTCATGCCTTTCTCAACAGGTAATAGAAACTCATTTCCATGGCTCCAGTGGCATAACAATCTGAGGAGACTCACACAGTGGCTGCTGTGGAATGTCTTTCTGTATGCTGTGAATGTGTGCTGCTCTGAATGGTTGATAAATAAAATGCTGATTAGCCAGTAGCCAGGCAGGAAGTATAAGCAGACAAGGAGAATTCTGGGAAGAGGAAAGCTGAGTCAAAAGTCTCCAGCTACACACAGAGGAATCAAGATGACAAGGCAGAACTGAGAAAAGGGACCAAGCCACATGGCAAAACACAGATAAGAATTATGGGTTAATTTAAGATATAAGAGCTAGCTACAAGAAGTCTGCTGTGGCCCTAGTTTGAAAATAACATAAGCCTCTGTGTGTATATTTGGGTCTGAGCAGCTTTGAGATCAGGCAGGACACAGGAAACCTTCCAACTACAAGGGACACCCTGATGGCCAGTAGATTTGTAATGATCAGGAGTATGACTCTCAGTGTCCATGCACTGTCGTGATAAAGATATTTCTTCCCTGTCAGGCTATGAAACTGAGTCTTTGTTCATCCATTGTTCAAAACTGAAAAAGCTAAAGAGTAGAGTGTGTTTAATCTCCCTTTAGCTACATCACAGAAGTACCAAAGAAAGAAAACTTCATTTACACTTCTCTCACCATGAAAATGGAGATATCATAACTTACATTCAGGTCTTTTTTGCTGTGTCACTCACCTCCATGGTCAAGTCTGCAATTACAAGTCTCCAAAAATACATAAAATTATCAAAGAACCGTAAGTGCACTTGGTAAACACATGAATGAACAATACCTGTCATATTTCAGTTTGACTAGGGCAATGAGAAAGACCAACAGATGTCTGGGTTTTGGGAGTAAATCAGGATATATCTATATATATCAAACCTTATATATTAAGGCAAAAATAGAGCAACATTCTAGTAAATGACTTCCTAGCTGCCTCAAAAGGAATTAGAAATGGAGAATTAGAAGAAATCATGTATCCTTAAAAGAAGTTCATGAACCATTAGATCAGAGCATTTTTACTCAGTTCAGAATTCCAAGAACTTCAAGATCATCATGAGATGATGGAGACATTGTAGATGTGGCAGTACATTCTACAAAAATTATTGGAAACTCCATTGCTTCTCATTCATGATGAGAACAATGGATATTGAGTTCATACCTGCAGTATGTATGCTGCATTTGGATATGCAGTTTCTGTCCCTGGCTTTTTTATTTGTGATAATGAACACATAATCCCTCTTCCTCAGTCTCCTAGGCATTCTGATTACACATGTGAATAACCACAACTAATTTTTACCTTATTAGTGTCAGTTCATGCAGCCATCCATCTACACACCCACTCAATAACATACCCTTCATTAATAGTCTCCTATGTCAGGTACAAGTACAATGATGCTCACATTTACATATGAGAATAGTAATCTTCCTTGACTTTCTTCCCCCTAGGAAAACGGATTTGTGCAGGAGAGGGCCTGGCACGCATGGAGCTGTTTCTATTCCTGACCACCATTTTACAGAACTTTAAGCTGAAATCACTGCTTCACACTAAGGACATCAGTATTACCCCAGTGGCCAGTGGATTAGCCTCTCTGCCACCCCCTTACAAGATCTGCTTCATTCCTGTCTAAAGAAGATCAGACTTTCTGGCTCAGGCTGTATTGTTTTCTGCAATCACCTCTACACCTTCATCCACCTCCTTCTGATCAGGGACAAGGAGTCTTTCCTTCCCTTTCATGTATTCTGTCAAGACTCAGGAAACACCTGTCAACCATTTTGCAATTTCTGGAGTCACTGCACAAATATATTGCTATTTTCTATTCTCTGCAACAGTGTTATTATCCCTTGTGCTAATGTGTATCTGGTCTTGAGTTAAACTAGAACTTCACTGTAAAATAACTAATATAGTAAGATAATTCATGGTCATTTTTCTTCTGCATGTTTTCAATAATAAATATATTTGATTTGCATACCTGTTATTAGACTTGCTTACAATTCAGGTAAAAAATGAAAGTAAACAGAGTTGCCAACACATCATGCTGGTCTACATGTCGTGAAGCATAGAGAATTCAAGCTAGGGTACTAGAGAGATATTTCATTCAGTAAAGTACTTGCCACACAAACCTGAAGATCTAAATCCAGTCTGTGGTATGTATATAATGACCAGGCATTGTGGCGTGTGCTTGTTATACTAACACTGAGAAGATAGAACAGGAGATCCTGAGAGCTTGCTGGACACCCAACCCAGCCTAATTAGTGAGACATGTGTCCTGGTGGGAAACACTATCTCAAAAAACAAGCTGGTCATCTCCTAAGAAATAATACCCAAGGTCCACCTCTGACTTCCACATACGTGTATGTATATGTACATACATTCTCTCACATACATGCAATGGATTATGTACATACATTTACATACCCACATTCACATATGTATAACAGAAGGTGAAGAGGAAGGTGGTACCAAAGCTTTTTGGCTGAGCATCACTTAAAGTCACTGGAAGTATTTGTGTTTGAAACAAATAAACAGTGTCCAGGAATAGCTCCACCCTGTAGAGGACAAGTCACAGGGACAAATACACATGCAGGGTCAGATCATGCCCTGCTTTGTTGCTATTGTCAATAAAAGGTAAAATTTTAAACATGCTTTTGATTTGATGTTCTCGGGTTAGACCTAAGCATGCATTTTGATTTTCTATTGCTAATCATATGCTCTATATGTGTCTTTTCTCTTCCCAAAAGAATTTTGGTGCCAGGAAAGGTCACATTTCTATAATTTCTAGATGCTACATTCCCTTCCCACTGCATTACAAATAATCAACTGAGAAGTAACATTATTGCTTATCTCCTTCTGTCTTAGTCTCAAAGGAGCTACTTTGTCTGGCATTGCTAAGTTCTTACCTTGGGGCCTAGTACAGAGATGTTTGCACATGCATTAGTGCATAAGAATATATTCAGACATGTTATTCAATCTATATACAGATTCGTGTGGTACAAAATGTGGCTCTTTAAAAATGAGCTAAAATTTCTATTCTATAAAGTTGTGTATTTTTCTAGTAAAGATATACTACACACTTTACTCCACTATTCTCAGGCCTCTAAACTTAGATTCAGACATGCCATCTGTTTTCCTGAATATTCCTAATGCAGTCAGATTACAGGGGAAAATCTCAGTTCTAAGACCAGGTGAACCAATTGCTTTGATAAATTATCTCTCATCTTTCTACTGTCTATATGTCTATCTATTATCTCTTTCATATATCTATGTATTTTGTCTCTCTTTCCTATGTCTGTCTATCAATCTATGCTTCTACCTATCTATCATATTAGTTCTGTCTCTTAAGAAAAATTAGCAATTAAAGAAGTGATTTTCTTGACATTGTTTTTATTATTTATCTTGAGTTTGCTGAGCATATATTTCTAGAGTGAAAATAATTTATTTTGCTATTCTTCAGGCATTTTTTATTTTTTATTAAGTAAAATTTTTCATTTATTTTACACACCAATCCAAGATCCCCCTCTTCCCTCCTGCTACCCCCTCTGCCTCCCCTTCCCAAACCACCCTTCACTTCCACCCACAAGAAGGCAAGGCCTCCCATCTAATAGAAGCAAGTTCAAGCCTTCCCCCTGCCTTAAGGCTTCATGAGGTATCCTAGCATAGGTAGTGGACTCCAAAAAGCCCCCTCATGCACCAGTGATGGATTCTGATCCTACCGTCAGGGGGCCCCCAAGCAGATCAAGCTACACAACTGTCTCGCCATGCAGAGGGCCTAGTCCAGTCCCATGTAGGCTCCACAGCCATTGATCCAACTTTCATGAGTTCTCTCTAGTTTGGTTTGGTCGTCTCTGCAGGTTTCCCCATCATGATCTTGATGCACTTGCTCATAGAATCCCTCTTCTCTCTCTTTGACTTGACTCCTAGAGCTCTTTCTAGTGTTTGGCTGTGGATCTCTGCATCTGCATCCATCAGTCTTTGGAGAAAAGCTCTGTGATGACAGTTAGGGTATTCACCAGTCTGATCACTGTAGTAAGCCAGTTCAGTTCAGGCAAACTCTCCACTATTTCTAGTAGCCCAAGCTAGTATCATCCTTGGGGATTTCTGACAATTTCCCTAGCCCTGGATTTCTCTGTATTCCCATGATATCTCCCTCTATCATGTTATCTCTTTCATTGATTTCCCCCCTCCATCCCTATTCCAGTTCAATCATCCCATTCTTTTATGTTCTCATCCCTTGTCCCCTATACTCCATTGCCCACCCCTCATCCCCATTTCACTCATGGAGATCTCATCTATCTCCCTTTCCCGGGGTGATCCATGTGTCCTTCTTTGGGTCTTCCTTGTTAGTTAGCTTCTCTGGAGCTGTGGGTTGTTGTCTGATTATCCTTTGCTTTATATCTGGTATTCACTTATGAGTGAGTACATACCATGTTTGTCCTTCTAAGTCTGGGTTACCTGACCCAGGATGATATTTTCTAGTTCCATCCATTTGCCAGCAAACCTCCTGATGTCATTGTTTTTCTGTGCTGAGTAGTACTCCATTGTGTATATGTACCACTTTTTCTTTATCCATTCTTCAGTTGAAGGGCATCTAGGTTGTTTCCAGGTTCTGGCTATTACAAATAATGCTGCTATGAAAATAGCTGAGCATGTGTCCTTGTGGTATGATTGAGCATTCCTTGGGAATATGCTCAAGAGTGGTTTGGCTGGGTCTTGAGGTAGATTGATTACCAATTTTATGAGAAATTGTCTTCAGGCATTTTTAAATGAGTTATAATGTGTTATGTTGATTTGGGGGAATAAGACAACCTACTGAATCTTGACCCATCATTTGTAATATGGATTCCCCCATGATATCTTAAAATATGGTCTTCTCCACACTTTGTAACAAAAAAAATTCATTGTAAAATTATTCATTTACTGGTAGTGAGCCTCTTCAGCTGCATATCACATTTCCTTTAATATAAAGCAATCCTCCTGAATATTTTGTGGGCCTCAACTATTATTCCTCATTTTGTCTCTGATCTTTATATCTGTGTTTTATTATGCATTTGTGGTATTTCTTGACTGGCTTTCACATTGTTTACCCTTTCTATTCCTTTTATATCACATGTATATTTATGTATATATGCATATAAAAATCATAAATTTTGTCATAGTTATAATGTGTCTTTGGTTAATATGCCCATTTTCATATATCATTATATTCTTAACTTTCATGAATTATTTTATGTTTATTACTGAACTAGGTAGACAGTTCAACAATTGAAAGCACTTATGGCACAAGAATAAAGACCTGAGTTCAGATTCCCAGCATCCACATGAAAGCTGGGCATGTCTGCACACTTCTGAAACCATGTATCCTGATTTAGTATAGACACTCCTTATGTGTGAATCCAAACTTTCAGGCACTGGCCAAAACACACTCTTCACCTGCCCTCAACCTAGAGGCCCCTTGAGCCTTTCCAGCCTCCATGTTCAACCATATCCTGCATATCTTGCTCCAGTGTTGAACAGGGTACTTCAGCCTGATCATCTTCTGCATACACACTCTAGAACCCCGGATCTACACCTTAACACTGAACTTGGACAAGGACAGATTTTCTTCATATCAGCTGATCTTTTTTTGTTTGCTTTGTTTTTTCTTTTTTGGGTTTTTTTGAGACAGGGTAGCTTTGTGTGCTTTGGTGCCTTTCCTGGAACTCACTCTTTAGCCCAGCCTGGCCTCAAACTCACAGAGATCTGCCTGGTTTTGCCTCCCAAGTGCTGGGATTAAAGGCATGTGCCACCATTGCCAGGCTTACATCAGCTTATCTTTATATTTCCATCTAAGTTATTTCCAACCTTTAGGCCCACCCTACCCCACACATCCTGTATTTAATCCAAACCTGCTCTGTCCATATCAGATGTAGAACTAACAAAAGAAGTCAACATGCTCAGATCATACTGCAAAAATACAAACAATAAGATAGATAAAGGCAGTATTTCCTCTACAGAATCCACCAGTCCTATAGAACTGTTTGCCAAAGAGGATTACCTAAGATGAACCCCAGGACACAGAATTTAAAAGAAGACTCTTGTATTTCATTAAAAAAAAATCAAGAAGGAGCTGGAAAGATGACTCCATGGATAAGAGCACTGACTGTTCTGCTCTTCTACAGATCCTGAGTTCAATCGCCAGAAGCTACATGGTGGCTCACAACCATCTACAATGGGATCTGATTTTTTTTTTTTTGGTATGTAGGTGTTCACACTGACAAAGCACTCTTATACATAAAATACATCAACAAAAAAAATTCGAGTTTAAAAAAGACAAAAATAAGATGCTCCATGAACTTAGAGAGGTATTGATTAAAAAAAAAAAAAAAAAAAAAAAAAACACCAGGGTGATATCCATGAAAATTCAAGCAGAAGCCTGGTGAATACAATTGGGGATTTGAAATTGTAATTCAATCAGGATATAGAAACACTGAAGAGAAATGAAATTTGCAGACAAATGGATTGAACTAGAATATATCCTCCTGAGTGAGGTAACCCAGACTCAGAAGGACAAACATGGTATGTACTCACTCATAAGTGAATACTAGATGCAAAGCAAAAGATAACCAGACTACAACCCACAGCTCCAGAGAAGCAAGCCCTGCCTTTTTAACACAGGTTGTGGGTATCAAATTTGATTCCTCCTGTTTCCACAGAACACACTTTATCAATTGAACCATCTCCTTAGTCAAACATGTAGAACTTTGAATTGACAAGACAGACACATTAATTACTGTTTAACTCTTAAGTTTGAAACAGAAAGCAAAAACAATATTCACTATCCCTACTTTGTGTTCACAGTAAACACCAAAGCAGGGACATTAACTCTAATAACTAATAATCACTCTCACTATGACTGATACTCTGAATTATTCCCAATACCTAACACTGTTCTTAGATACAGTTTCTCTTGTCCAAGTCCAAATGTCCAGT